ACTTGTAGTAATTTCCAACCAATGGTGCATTGTTTCAGGGTCCCACTAAGAGGCAACATCTCGACATGTATTGTTCTTCTCACTTCCATGTCCAGCCAACCGACCCTGGCCCAACCCCTTCCTGTTTAAATATCCCCAAGTACAGGAAGCCCCACAGGCCAAAAGGCAGATGTTAATTTTAAAAAGTCATCAGACATTAACCCCATAAGAGACAATCAAAAATTAGCATTCTAGGCACTTGCCTACAAATGCTATCCCACTGCAAGGTCATTACAAGCCTTACTGCCAAGGAAGCTCTTGAATTGCCCTAGTTACAATCGATAAGACGTGTCCCTTGTGAATGCCCCCACCCTCTCCACACTCCTGAAAACAGAGGGAAGTTTGCTTATATTGAAGCAGGAAGTTGGTTAGTAGGGCCACACAGAGCCTGAAGGCCCATAAGGGCAGAAAAAACACTCTATGTTGCCAAGGGATGTTGTTAGGGACACAGTTTTCACTTGAATGAGCTTATCCACCAGCTCCATAATAAAAGATCCATGTCAAAAATGAATAACACTAAACGCATTTACAGCAATTACATCTTTGTTTTCAAGACAGTAAAAAAAGAAGTACATTTGCCAAATTCATGTACAGTACATATTAATGTGTGCCTCTTTTATACTGAAATGAGAATATAATGAAATGTGGGCCCATCGCATACTTACGTATGAACCTAAATCAAGCCCCGCCTGCAGAAACTTCAGAATGTGACAGATTTGTGAAGATCCCAGTGTAAAACGTTGATCAGCAGCAATCCTGTGAATTTATATCATATTCTACTAAAGACACTGTTAGTGCTGTTCTTCTTTGCTTTCATAAGAGTATTCACAACCTTTCTAGAGAACTCAAGAACTATTAGCCTCTGCCTCTCAAGACCCAAGCCATGAGCTTGAGTCTGTCAGGTGCTGGATGAATGGGACTTTAGAGAAGATCCGATCTTACCAGCAGAGGGAGTGGAGAGTGGATCCTTGACACTCATTAGGAGGGGCAGAGGGTACCAAGGCCCCTTTGACCAATCTGGGATCACCACCAGAACTATCACATTCCCCTGCCACAGCTTCAGCAGGAAGCTGAGAATCAGAGGGAGAGGATGAAAGGTATAAGCTGTCCTGGAGATCCACTCTGCGATCAGCAGCTCCACCCAGATTGCTTGTGGATGCTGGACCCTGGAATAGAAGTTCAGCAACTTGGTGTTGACTGGGGATGTGAACAAGTCTACCTCTGGAAGAGATTATCAAGCCCGTTTGTTCTCAAAAGACTTACAGTGGTCTGGACCATTCATTGTCGTCCAGGGTTGACCTGGACAAATTTTTGCCTAAAGATTCTTCCGACCGGGTACACAGGCCGCAGATAGCTGCAGGATATTGACTTTGGCAAACTCTAGAATCAGAGAAACCTCCTTTAGGAGGGAGACACTGAGTGTCCCCTTGTTTCCAGATGAAGGTAACAGTCTGTGTGCTGTCTAACATCACCAGGACAGGTCCACCCTGGATGAGGTGACTGAAGGCTAGGAGAGCCTGAAATTACATTCTTAACTCCAGGATTTTGGACACGATCTTGGACTCTTCAAAAAGGCCATTTGTCCTGAGCCCATTTCTCCTGAATTAGGGCTCTCCAACTATTTTGCTGGTGTCTTACTGCATCAGCAGCCACTTGGTAATCAGATGGAAATAACATTGCAGAAGATTCAGCTTCTCCAACCACAAGTTTAGGTTCGCTTTCATACAGGGCGTAATCCATATCTTCTGACCTAGACCCTCTGACTGCTACCAGTCCAGAAACCCGACTTGAAAGGAGGTGAGAGTTCAACTGAGCCTAACTGGCCTGCTGGAGTGAGGTGATTTATGCAGCCAATCTAAGACGGACATGCAGAATGAAAGATCTCCCAAATATTTCCTGAAATGCACGACTTGAGTGACCATGTGTCCATCACCAAAGCTGTAACTATGTCCAAAGAGGAGCCACCAAGTGCCCATAAGACATATATGGATAGCACAATGCCCAAAATACTAGCAAGCATCCTGATATGAAGCTCTTTGCTGACTTCTTGGATTATGTGCTTGTTTTTTCTACCAGCCAGAAATGCAGAAGCCACCCTCTCTGGAGTGAGCGTGGAAACTGACTCTTGAACTTCAGTCTTCTTTAACTTAACTCAACAGATGTTCATCTTGAGGCAGGAAACCAAACTGAGCACTATTAATTTAAGCTTCACCTTCTAAGATCAAGAACAATATGGTGATTGAGTAACTCCTTGAAGGCCACAGCATCTTCTAGCAGTAAAGTCACGTATCTGGCCAGTTCGATAAGGGGCACACTGACCAAAGGGATGATTCAAACCTCTTGACATCCTGCTGTGACAACATGCTCCAATCTTGTAGAATGAGCACTTGATTCAGTCTCCATAAAGGTAGTTGTCAAGCCATCCTCTGGAGGCACTTGAAATACTTCCATAGCTTTGCTTCTATTTAATAATTTAATCAACCTTACAATAGGAGGAGTCAAAAATCTGGACAAAGGTCAGCCTCAAATTCTTGTTCAGAAGGGACGGAAGATGATTTATTGGCTTGAGAAGACTCTGAGACCAGTTATAATGGTCCTAAAAGGAAGACTGGACAATGCCAGAATGGATGGCCCTTGCGGAAGGATAATTCAGCAATTCCTTTAAAGTGTCTTGACCACATGCTTAATGAATTGTGACAATTTGGTCACTATCATCCTAACCACTGTCTACTTGAACAAAGCAGGAATCAGACAGTCATGTTCATCCACATGTTCTTTGGATGAATCTGGCAAGGGCTGATTTGCCTGAGAAGGTTCTGAGACTGCTGATTGGCAAAAAATAGATGACCCCTTCACAAGGTGAGAGGAAGCAACTCATTTAGAATGTATTGACCACATGGTCGATGAATTTGATAACTTGTTAGGTGTCAACTTCTTTATCCCTGGCTGCTTGAACCAGCAGGGCCCATACAATCATGCTCTTCTGATTCTTTTGGAAGAGTCTAAAAAAGGATTGTTTGCCAGGAAGGCCAGGAGACTGCGCATTGATAGAATAGATAACCCCTTCAAAGTGTGAGTGCAAACATTCCTTTAGATTGTATTAGCTCCATGTGACAACCTGTTAGGTGTCATCATCTTTATCCTTGGTTGCTTGAACAAAGCAGTACTCATGCAGTCATGTCCAACCGCATCATCCTCTGTGGAAACTCTCAAGAGGGATTTTTTGCTTGGGAAGGCTAGGCCGCTTCTCATTGCCAAAGCAGATAACCCTTTCAAAGGGTAAGTGGAAATTAATCCTTTAGAGTGTACTGACAATTTTTTTATTGAATGTGACATCCTGTTAGGTGTCATCATCTCTATCCCTGGCTGCTTAAACCAGCAGGATACATACAGTTATGCCTGTCTGCATCTTCCTGTTCATAGAGTCTGAAGAGGCTGTCTTGCCTGCACTGCTGAGACTTCTAACTGCCAGAACATTTAACCCTTTCACAGGGTGAGTGGAAACAACTCCTTTTGAATGTACTGGCTACCTGTTTAATGAATGTGACAACAAGTTAGGTGTCATCATCCTCATTTCTGGTTGCTTGAACAAGCAAGATTCATACCATCATGTTCATCTGTCTCTTCCCCTCTGGAGAGTCTGAAGAGGCTGTTTTGCCTTGGAAAGCCTATGAGACTGCTCATTGCTAGAACATATAGCACCTTTACAGGGTGAGTGAAAACACCTACTTTATTGTTCATCATACAGTCATATTCATCTGTGTCATCTTTTTTAAAAGTCTGAAGAGGGTTGTTTTGTTTGGGAAAGCTCTGAGACTGCACATTGCCAAACTAGATAATCCTTTCACAGCGTTTTGTCTGCCACTTAAGAAGCTAAAGAAAAACAAAATAGTAATAATGTAAAGAAGTAGAAAATAGCTTGCTTAGTAACAAACCCTAAAAGGTTAACAAGTGCTAGATGGTGGTTGATACTGCAGCTTACAAACACAGCCAGATTTCATTAGTTGGTTAATGAACCAAACTTTGCCCTGCTAGAGGCAAGGTAATGAAAATGTTGTTAAGAAGAGCAACAAAAGGTAGGAATATGCAACAGTATTACAATAATATTCTGCAATGTACACAAACCATCCAAGGGAATTGTTGACATCAACTTCTGGCTACAGTAGTCATCTACAGGTGACTACTCTAACTTCTCTGGGAATGCTGGTCTTTTCAGGGGGTTGGCATAATGGCACAACAGTAAAGCAAACAAGAGAAAGAGAAGGCTCCAACAGTATTATTTTGTGAACCTGTTATGCAGAGTACTCTGTGGAGGAGCTCAGGGTATGCAAAGCAGCTGCAGGGAGCAAGGCATAACAATACCTAGCAATGCAGTATTCATTTGGATACAAAGCATTTTTAAATTTAGCTCACCCAACCTCCGACATCCGATTGTAAACACTGGTACTGTGTGGGTGTACATGCCTAGGGGAGATTCTGCTGACACCACTGCCCTCTTCACATGGACCCAACAGACCCCAGACAAGGCTGTTAGCCATGGTAAAAGACACCCTGAAGACCAGCAGCGGGGCTCCCTGGATTATGAGTCATTTTGCTGGTAAACCAGGGACCAATTCCAGCTGAAACCCACATGCATGGATGGACAGCTAGCCCTTTAGACCAGCTAGGTAGAGGAGAACGCCTAGGTCCTGTAAATGGGAGGAAAAAAAAGAGGAACACTGAGGCTGCAGGTGGGCTCAAATTTATGAGTTAGGTCCTGGAAGCATGGGGGGGGCAGGGCCAGGGGCGGACTGACAACTCATCGGGCCCCCGGGCAATAGGGGATCATGGGGCCCCTGTGTCCTTGCCCAAACTCAAAAAAGCCTATGAAAAAGGTACCAGGGGCATCTCAAGGCCCCCTACTGACCCCGGGCCCTCGGGCAGTGCCCAAGTTTCCAAATGGTCAGTCCGCCCCTGGGCAGGGCCCTTACCCAGCTGTGCTGACATGGAGCTGTCAGGAAACTGGCTATCACATTTGGAGAGAGCCTAACATTCTGGAAAGTTTACAGTTAAAAAGAACCCACAAATAAAAAAAAAAAACTAAAAAACTAAAATAGTTGTCATTTTATTGAGTTACTGTTTCATTAAACATAGAAAAGTGAAAAAAGAACAAATGGGAGTGGTCCATTGAGTCTGTCCGTGTTTTTTTTTTTTTGGGGGGGGGGGGGGGGAGTTGTTTTTTTTTGTTAACTTTTTGTCTGAGTATAGATCTATGCTTGCCCCAAGCATGTTTGAAACTATTTACTGTTGACTGGCTAACTACCTCTGATTAGTTTAGAGAAGTTTAATCTCAGAAAGTACTATTTTACTGAAAGAGTAGTTGATGCCTGAAATACTTTCCTCCAGTTAACCATTGTTGTTTTCTTTGCAGGAATGCCATCCAGCTGCAGCACCAATCTGTTTATTCTAACTGCAACAGGGTGTGCTCCCACAATATACATCAATGTGTGTGTCAGGGCTCCCGGGTATGACCAGAGGTGTGTGACTGACGCAGGGAAACGCAGACTTCAGATATGTTATAAACAATATAATTTATTAACACTAACAATACAAACATAAACGCAGTGCAATACTAAAACATAACACAGTGCAAACAAACCAAACCAACCACCCACAGATGACAGTACATACAATGCAAGCGTCGTCAGGCAGGCCGGGTCAATATCAATCGGGCAGGTAGGTACAGGGGGAGCAAGCGGAGAATGGTCGGGGTCACAAGCCAGGTTCAGCAGGTAGCGGGCAGCGTGGTACAGAGGGTCAGGCAGAGGAGAATGGTCAGACAAGCCAGGGATCAGGAGCAGGAGAATGGTCAGACAAAGCCAGGGATCAGAGCAGGGTCAGCAACGAATCAGACAGGAACAGGGAGCAGGAACAGGATACAGGGCCCAGGAGAAACACACACCAAGGCAGAGTCTGCAGGTCTGGCCATCCCTTAAATACACCAGTATAATCAGTTCCAGGTGTTTGACTGGCTGCAAGGTTGAGTCTCTGATTGCTGGGAGCACCCGCTGGCCAGCCCTGGTACTGCAGCTCATAAGGCAGGTGAGTCCCACCATTGCTGGCCAGTCCATTCCTGACAGTACCCCCCCTCATGGAGCCCCCCTCAGGACGCTCCAAACAGTCCTAGCTGGGCAAAATGTTCCACCGCCCAGGTCTGGTAACTGGCGGGATATCAAAGACTGGCACACCACCGGGCAGGACTCCAGGCAGCGGCACACCGGGCAGGGGCACACCGGGCAGGGCACATCGGGCAGAGGCACACCAGGCTGGACTCCGGGCAGAGGCACACCGGGCTGGACAGAGGCACATCGGGCAGAGGCAGAGGCACTTCGGATTACCGGGCTGGACTCCGGGCAGAGGCACATCGGGCTGGACTCCGGGCAGAGGCACATCGGGCTGGACCCTGGGCAGAGGCACATCGGGCTGGACTCCGGGCCAGGCGGAGGCACATCGGGCTGGACTCCGGGCAGAGGCACATCGGCACCGGGACCCCCCAGGCGGAGCAGGCAGGCGGAGCGACAGGTCTCGGGCCCCCAGGCAGACAGGCACCGGGGCCACCAGGCGGAGCAGCAGGCAGCGGCCGGGCCCCCAGGCGGAGCGACAGGCACCGGGCCCCCGGAGGGCGGAGCGACAGGCGCCGGGCCCCCAGGCGGGGGCAGCGGGACAGGTCTCAGGGGGGACGCGGGGCCCCCAGGCGGAGCGGCGGGCGCCGGACCCCCAGGCGGAGGACAGGTCTCAGGCGGGGCCCCCAGGCGGAAGGAGTCTCGGCGGGCGCGGCGGGCGCCGGACCCCCAGGCGGAGCGACAGGTCTCGGCCCCCAGGGGGGCGACAGGCATCGGGCCCCCAGGCGGGGCAACACAGGCATCGGGCCCCCAGGCGGAGCGGCGGGCGCCGGACCCCCAGGCGGAGCGACAGGTCTCGGACCCCCAGGCGGAGCGGCGGGCGCCGGACCCCCAGGCGGAGCGACAGGTCTCGGGCCCCCAGGCGGAGCAGGCGGGCGCTCGGGACCCCCAGGCGGAGCGGCGGGCGCTCAGGCCCCCAGGCGGGAGCGACAGGTCTCGGGCCCCCAGGCGGAGCGGCGGGCGCCGGACCCCCAGGCGGAGCGACAGGTCTCGGGCCCCCAGGCGGAGCGGCGGGCGCGGACCCCCAGGCGGAGCGACAGGTCTCGGGCCCCCAGGCGGAGCGGCAGGCGGGCGCCGGACCCCCAGGGAGCGACAGGTCTCGGGCCCCCAGGCGGGGCGACAGGCATCGGGCCCCCAGGCGGAGCGACAGGCATCGGGCCCCCAGGCGGGGCGACAGGCATCGGGCCCCCAGGCGGGGCGACAGGCATCGGGCCCCCAGGCGGAGCGACAGGCATCGGGGCCCCCAGGCGGAGCGACGGGCTCGGGCCCCCAGGGCGGAGCGACAGGCTCGGGCCCCCCAGGCGGCGGGCGCCGGACCCCAGGCGGAGCGGCAACAGGGCTCGGGCCCCCAGGCGGGAGCGACAGGCGGCGGCGCCGGACCCCCCAGGCCCCCAGGCGAGCAGGTCTCGGGCCCCCCCCAGGCGGAGCGGCAGGTCTCGGGCCCCCAGGCGGAGCGGCGGGCGCCGGACCCCCAGGCGGAGCGACAGGTCTCGGGCCCCCAGGCGGAGCGACAGGTCTCGGGCCCCCAGGCGGAGCGGACAGGCGCCGGACCCCCAGGCGGAGCGGCAGGTCTCAGGCCCCAGGCGGAGCGACAGGTCTCGGCCCCCAGGCGGAGCGGCGGGCGCCAGACCCCCAGGCGGAGCGGACAGGTCTCGGGCCCCCAGGCGGAGCGACAGGTCTCAGGCCCCCAGGCGGAGCGGCGGGCAGGTCTCAGGCCCCCAGGCGGAGCGACAGGTCTCAGGCCCCCAGGCGCGGACAGGCGACAGGTCTCAGGACCCCAGGCAGCGACAGGTCTCGGGCCCCCAGGCGGGGCGACAGGTCTCGGGCCCCCAGGCGGGCGACAGGCATCGGGCCCCCAGGCGGGCGACAGGTCTCGGGCCCCCAGGCGGAGCGACAGGTCTCAGGCCCCCAGGCGGGCGAGCGACAGGTCTCGGGCCCCAGGCGGGGCGACAGGTCTCAGGCCCCCAGGCGGAGCGACAGGTCTCGGGCCCCCAGGCGGAGCGACAGGTCTCAGGCCCCCAGGCGGAGCGACAGGTCTCAGGCCCCCAGGCGGAGCAACAGGTCTCAGGCCCCCAGGCGGAGCGGCGGGCACTGGACCAGGCGGAGCGACAGGTCTCGGGCCCCCAGGCGGAGCGGCGGGCACCGAGTCACCAGGCACGACAGTGGGCTCCGAGTCAACTGGCATGACCGCTGGCACTGGGTCAGACATTGGATCATCTGGCTGGACAGCGGGCATCGGGTAACCCGGCATCAGGTCATTTGGCTCAACAGCGGGCACCGCGTCATCTGGCAAGGCAGTGGGCTCCGAGTCAACTGGTATGACCGCGGGCACTGGGTCAGACATTGGATCGTCTGGCTGGACAGCGGGCATCGGGTCACCAGGCATCAGGTCATGTGGCTCGCCAGCGGGCACCGCGTCATCTGGCAAGACAGTGGGCACCAAGTCACCAGGCACGACAGTGGGCTCTGAGTCAATTGGCACGACAGCGGGCACCGGGTCATCAGGTACCGGATTGTCTGGCTCGACAGCGGGCATCGGGTCACCAGGTATGACAGCGGGCACTGGGTCACCAGGCATCAGGTCATTTGGCTTGCCAGCGGGCACCGCGTCATCTGGCAAGGCAGTGGGCACCGGGTCACCAGGCATTGGATCGTCTGGCTCGACAGCGGGCATCGGGTCACCAGGCATCAGGTCATTTGGCTCGACAGCGGGCACCGCGTCATCTGGCAAGGCAGTGGGCTCCGAGTCAACTGGTATGACCGCTGGCACTGGGTCAGACATTGGATCGTCTGGCTGGACAGCGGGCATCGGGTCACCAGGCATCAGGTCATTTGGCTCAACAGCGGGCACCACGTCATCTGGCAAGGCAGTGGGCACCGGGTCACCAGGCATTGGATCGTCTGGCTCGACAGCGGGCATCGGGTCACCAGGTATGACAGCGGGCACTGGGTCACCAGGCATCAGGTCATTTGGCTCGCCAGCGGGCACCGCGTCATCTGGCAAGGCAGTGGGCACCGAGTCACCAGGTACGACAGCGGGCTCTGAGTCAATTGGCACGACAGCGGGCACCGGATCAGGTACCGGATTATCTGGATCAACAGCGGGCATCGAGTCAACTGGCCTAATAGGATCATCAGGCTGGATCAGTTCATCATGCTGGGTAGAGGCATCAGGCTGAGTGGAGGCATCAGGCTGAGTGGAGGCATCAGGCTGAAGAGAGGCATCAGGCTGAAGAGAGGCATCAGGCTGAAGACAGGCATCAGGCTGAAGACAGGCATCAGGCTGAAGACAGGCATCAGGCTGAAGACAGGCATCAGGCTGGGTACAGGCATCAGGCTGGGTACAGACCTCAGGCTGAAGTGCGGGTGCCGAGGCACCAGGCTGAACCACGGAAGGCAGGTTCTCAGACGGCAGGCTGACCGGTTTGGATACTGGCAGGATGGTACTGGTTGGAAAGAATTTTCGCTTTTTTCTGGTTTTAACTACTGGAGCACTGCAAGTAAACGCAGGTCTGCAAACGAATGGAGCAGCTGGAGACAGAGAAGAGCTGGAGGATGGAACAGAGGAGGGAGCAGTTGCTACAGAGGGCTTTTTTACAGGGTTAAAGGCAGGATAGGTGCAGCGAGTGGGAACAGGGTACTGACATGCGGTAGATAGCAGGGCAGGAGGGAGCTGTTGGGAATGCAGGAATAGAGCTTTGAGGAAATAGATTAGAAGCAGGACTGGGTTTTTGTAGGCTGACTGAGGCTGGGTGCAACAAATCTGTCCATGTCTGCAGTATGGGTTGAACAAAGCTGAGCTTACACAAAGCCTGTCTGACCAAAGACTGCACTGCGTTTATACAATCTCTTAGTATCTGTGGTGAACATGCAGC